GCAAAAAACGTCCCATCAGCACTCTCTAATGGGCAAGGTGTAGGAAGAGAGAAAAAGACAGAGATGAAGCAGAAAGAAGACAGAGAGAGAGAGCGAGGTGGCAGTGGTGCTTTTGTGGCTGAGGAGCAGTGAGTAATGAGGCTGAGGCGCACCCTGTCATTGTCCCAGCAGCAGCCTGCAGCCACAGACACACATACAGACACACAAATACACACAGATGAAAAAAAAAGCATCTAAAAACAAGACTTTGTCTGACATTCAGCATCTACACTGTGAAGTACCTGATGAAACTAAACAAAGTAGTTTAATTTCAAAATGTATTTAAGACCATTTGGTCTTGTTTTGTTAGATGGATTCATAAGAGGTGCTTGTTTAAAACACTCCGTATGGTCTCTCACGAATTCTATTCATCGTTTTCTCCGTCTCTGCTGCTGGGTGACTCTGGATTATTAAGATGTTGCATCACTTCTCCGAAGCATGGGTATAAGGTGAAGGTAAAAAGTCCAAGTTCATGGATGCAGAAAACAACACCACGGGTGCAGAGCTGAATTTAGCTCTGCAAATGTGTATGCAGATGCGCAATGTTTATGTCTACCTTGAGAAACCTGTTTGGCAGTAGTACTGCAATGGCTCACATAACCAAGCAAGGCCCTTTTCATTGCAAGGTGATGTTGAAAGAAGCCATTAACACCAAATATCTTCCTGCAGAAAGCTAACATGCTAGCTCTGATCTACTTAACACTGTCAACAGCAGATGCATTTACTTTAATATGTGTAAAGTTCATCTAGGGGATGAGGTGGAGGCACATACCGTTCATTCTTTGCTCATTTGCCAGAATGAAAAGAGACTGGACATTAAAAAGAAAACATGCATTCACACACACTCGGATTGCTTCCCTGGAGGTAGTGGAAAAGGCCAAAGATAGAGGTGACCCACGGGGATGTAGTACTAAAGGGGGAGTGGATGCAGGGGGGTAGTAATGATGCCAAGCTGAACAAATTGCAAAGCAAAGGGAGTGCGTTTTAAATGTAGTACATGAAATTATCGTGAATGCAACACAGAGGGAAGATCAGAGAGGTTGGGATCCACTGGGAGCGATCTGCAACTCTCGGGACAAACATAAAGCTCGGCTACGGTGATGAGTTCAGCTGTAATACAAAGTAAAATAGGACAAACATGTCTTCCAATACTCTGCTGAAAATTCAGTGTGCAGAATTTGAATGCCTAGAAGTTTTCCCTCTGTTTTTCCCCCAAACACAAATAAATATAATAATAATATAAAGAATAATAAATGGAAAAGTGAAGGGAAAACATATGTGATCTGTTTCAGCGACAATTAAAACGTGAAGCTGTTCTTTTGCAACTTAATGACAAGATCTCAACACAACTCACTCACTGAATTAAACTCCATTAATTACACGACCTACATATACTAACAGGTCGGTCTTCTACGCAGATAGATACAGGAAGAGATCACATATCTGCTAATAATAAACAAAAGCACCAGAGCCTTAAGAGATCTTACAAAATAAAATTTAAAAAAATCCTGCTCTCCAGACGCTTTTCTGAGGGCATGCACTTTAGTCTGTTGACTCCAAATACTGTTGTTTTATTAGGTCGAGCAAACAAGGAAAAAAAACTACTTTCCATTAGAGGCAGAAAACTTTTGATTATCCTAGAGGCAAGGATGAGCTGTAAATACTATTCTCCTGCCAATTAGTCATATGAATAGGTTTACACCAGGTTCAGAAGAACTTCACTATAACAAGACTCTGAGGGTTAGCCGCAATAAGCCGCACTGTATTTTGTACTGAATTTGCCACATGTAGCTAAAATCAGAGAGACGATTGCAGTCACACATTAAGGCATCTTGTGAAGGCACGGCTCAAAAAAAAAAAGGAAGTAAGAGTCTTGTTAAGAGCGTGGCAGTATTAACCTGTGAGCTAGTGCATCATCTACGCCCAGGCTGATAGGCTGATCTCTAAATCAGTGTCCAGAGAGTGCGCGAGTCTGAAGGCTGAAACTCTGTCCATCCTGCCTGCCCGTCGCTACCGCCAGTCCCAGCCATGAATATGGAGCTGTTCTGTGGCTGGGAGCTTGCTTATGTTTTCTGTCTGATATCTAGGCCCCATTCCCATTTCAAAGGGAGGTCCACCCGGGGCCTTGACTTTTTGATCTGCCTGGCGACTGAGTCGACCACCTGCATGTGGGATCAGCTGCCAGCTAGAGCAGACAACCCCTCTGCTTCAAAATATACACACGCACCCCCTTCGCCCTCCCTTCACTGCTTCATTGCCCTTCGCTGTGCCCCCTCCTTCCGTGAAGCTGCCAGGAGCCCCCAGTGGTCCTAACTGGGTCTGGAGCTGCATCCCATTCCCCCCCCCCCCCGCCATTTCTTCTGACCAGGGCGAGTGAGATGTTTGAGATGCTCAGTATAGCAACAGGACGCATCTTCATGCAGTGATGGGAACATTTTGTATTAATGAAAGGCCACAGTGTCAATGCAGCATGGAAACAACAAAGGCTTTATCAAAAGGTCTGTGGCCTTTGTAATCAGGGACAGAGAGGCGCACTGTGAGCTGTGAACCTCTCAAACCTGTAGGTGCCGAGCCCACATGTATACAACTCATTTAAAGCTTAGAGTAACTAAGCATGAGTAGATGACACAAGACTGCGTTTTCACTTGTGACACTTGTTATAAGCCCATGACACAACCAATTAACAGCACCTATGTTCCTGCCACCGAGGGTAATTAGTTAGAGTTTCACAGTCAGAAAATGTAACAATTTATTTTCAAACAAAGCCACAGCTATTTGAGATGTGTGTCTTTCTGAATGTTTCCTACAATAAGTGATATTCACACAGTCTTTAAGTTAATTGGCTTTCTTGAACCATGACAGCTAGCTTAATGAGTGTCTAATTGTTTCTCAGCTGGGGTGATAGCACACCAGACCAGAAAGACACTTCAAGAAGAGGTGCGACTCTAAAAAGGACACCCTTCATCTCGTAGATCACAATAAATCCCTCCGTTGTTGCACCTACACACTCGGCTCTATCGGGGCCAAAGTTTTTTCGATGCTTATAATCAACTTAAAACTGCTGCTGTGTTTATATATCTGGAAAAAAAATGTATTCGTGCATCCAATTAATCAAACATCTGCATTCAAACAGAAGAAAACAAAAAATATATATACTTAACTAAACAAACAAAAGCTGGAATATTCATCAACCTGCATGAGTATTTGTGTCCACCTCTGGTTTGTGTCACAAGTGATCCAGGTTCCTAACATGTACCAGAAACGGTTTCACTACACTCATCTGTGTAAGCCTTTACACACCACACTACTTCTTCTGCTGCCTCAAACAAGTGGAGTATGACAAAGCAACCGGCATCAAAAACAAATACACTATTAATCAAAAAGCAAGAAAGGGGGTGGGTGAGGGTGGAGGTAATGAAATGAGTGAGGAAATTAGGAACAATTTCCAGAAAGGAGGGCATTTAACTAACCTTAACTGAATTTTTGGTCTGATTATAAATATATTATAAGCTTTTAAACTGGAAAAAAAAAAACCCCAAAACAAATTATTTTATCAAATAGTGACAAAAAATAAAATAAAACTGTGTACGTTGTGGTGCTCCCGTCAAGCATAAAGGCAGGCAGTAGTCGAATAGGTTTGCAGCCGGGCCCCACTTTGGAAAGCCCTCATAAATCCTGATTTGAGACGGGCACTAACCAGAGGAGCTAAGGCATCAAGAGAGGAGGGAGGGGGGGCTGAAGAGTAAGTGGGTGGCAGCATGCCTCTTAAAATGCTACGTCTGATTAAGTCTTCCCATTAGGTGACAGCTGAACTTTAACATTAATATGATAATATTGAAATAAGTGCATGTTATTTACTTCAGCACCAGCAGGGGTGGAGGGAAGAAGAGGAGGAGGAGGGAATGATGAATGATTTCTGGACAGCTCTGGGTGACATGCCAGGCGAAGTGACCCCCCCCCACCCGGCCCTCCTCTTGCCATAATCAGGCTTGACAAAATGGAGACATATGCAGAAATATTGGTTACAGTCGGCGTCACAGCCCTTCTCAGGCCTTTCCTCTCCAGTATCTGCCGCCCGCCCTGCGAGCCACCCTCCAAATTGTCTATGGGCACTGAAGCATCTATTTCAATTGGCACTTCCTTCCTGCCCCCAGGATTTTACATTTAGTCTGTGTCATTTACATATTACTCTTAATCAAAATCCACAGCGGGTGACAAGGAGGGGGAAAAAAAAACAACAAGAGAGAGCAAGAAACAAAACCGTGGCGTCACGGTTCAGGGGTAAGCACACAGACACTTTATGAAATGGAGATGTGACAAGACATTACGGTGTGTGTGTGTGTGTGTGTGTGTGTGTGTGTGTGTGTGTGTGTGTGTGTGTGTGTGTGTGTGTTAGGAAGCGGAGGCACCAGATAATGCAAGGCCTATTGAAATATTTGCGTTTGAATGCCTGTGCCTGTGTGACTGCCTTGTGAGTGAACTAGCACGCCAGGGAGACAAAGAGTGCAAGATGGATATGGGTGGTAAGTGCATTTTGTGGGAAAAAAATGAAAAGAGAAAATAAACAAAGGCAAAGAGAAGAAAAGAATGGAGACATGTACAGTGTGCACTTGTCTCTTCCAGCAGGATGCTGTACTGGGCTACTTGTTTCTCAGGCACACAGCACCACATTTAACCAAACAGCCACTCACACGATTTGTTTACTTAGTTTTCTCAGCTATATAGTTCTGACTAATAAGAATTTGACTAAAAGATCACAGATCCTTTACAAATGAGCTTAACCTGCTTGAAACATGAACAAAAGCACTTGCTAATAGCCACAGGTGACTGACTGCAGCAAGTTATAAACTATAATATTCACTTTTAAATCTTATGAAAGTCTTTATTTACAACCTCACAGCACTGTTAAAGCACTTTGCATACAAAGAGGTGCAGAAACAGTGTTCCTACCTGCCTCTTACCTTCTCAGCATGCCGGTAAGGATGCGGGAACTCTTGCCCAGGTTGGCGTCTGTTTCTCTCAGCTGGAGTTGTAGGGGAGACAGAACCAGTGAAGGACAGCTTTTAGTTTTAATTCTGAACAAACACTTGAGCAATTTCAGTTTAACACACTCTGTCAACAAACTAAAGCTGTTTTTAAAAGAAAATCCCTCTGGTGAAGCACACACCAGGAAATAGTCCTTCTGATGTGTTTGCACAACTGGAAATATGTAAATGGGTTTAGGCAATGGTGGGTGGTGGCAGCGCACATAATGACCACTCGCTACTGTTAAATGCGCTGCAGTATTAGCTGCACATGTTGTGAAATCTGACATCGAGGTGGACTTTGTCCTAGGAATTTGTTGCAAGTTTGCAAGTTAAAGGCTTCTGTATCATAAGAACTGACGTTGCTTTCACACACGATGCTGTCGGCTGGAGCTTAACATATAATATGTGGATACTATTTCATCCACACTTGAAAACAAAAAAGAAGCATGTAACGAGTATAAATAAGTACCACGGCAATAATGTCATTTGATTACTACAGTATTGTTGTGCAAGGTACTATTGCACTGTACTACTGGCCTTAGGGCAGAAAGACATCTCTACAGTTTGACACACTTTTCACTAAAGTTTCTTGCGACCCAGAGAGATGAATGGGAGATCCTTTGATTAGAGCTTGCCTTCTTACCTTAAAGGTACTGGCTTACCTGTCAAGAGACCACCCTCGGCAAAACCCCCCACTTTTAGACAAAACCAGTGGGGGGGAAAAAATACACGACAATTTTAGAGCTGCTTTAAAAGCAACTTATTTACCAAAGCATGAACAGCTAGGCTACACATAAGATCAATGTTTACTTCATTTGATGCATCTCTATGTCTATAAACTAGCAGCATTGTGAGCTGTTCAATGACAGAAAACTTTTGAAAAAACCTCCATAACCTTAGTAGGACATGCCACTTGATGGTCTTATATTCATCTTACTACAGAGCTAGATGAATATAAGGAAATGGAGTGAAAGATGCCTTTACTTTTAAAGTAGGTACCAAGCAGTGGGAGTCCTTGAAGGCACCCTTGAAATGATGATCATGGCTATTGAGGACTAATTGCCTGGATATTTCCCTTTTCTTGCTCCATTTCTTTCCCTTTTTCTTCCTCTCTGCCTTTTTTCCCTTCAGGGGTCATAGGAATGTTTTCAAGCTACTCTCTTGTCAGGCGTAGGGACTTTTCACAGGGAGGAGGATTTGGCAAAGATGTTGCCAGCAAAGTGTGAGTGTGAAAGTGAAAAAAAATGCTGACACTGCACTGAGTGAGCTGCCACTAACATCTACCTGTAGTCGCATTTCTCGAGGATGACAGGGGAGCACGGGGAATAGTGATTGCAGAGTTTTTCTCTAAACAGTCAGCAGGGAGTGATTTATCTTCGTCTTTCTCTGAAATAATACTGCTTTCCCAATAAAGTCACCCCTTCTCTGTATGTTTTCATCAGTGAATCACACTATATTCTATTTGTTTTTAATTCTTCAGTTTCACATCTTTTCTACCAAAACTCCCCTTTCCTCTACAACGATCGGAGCCACGCTCTCTTTTTTTCATGTTTGTTCTGGCTCATCCTGCAGTCATCGCTCTTCCCTGCAATTCATCCTCCCTTCCCAGCCCTGCTTTACTGCTCCTTTCTTCCTCTTCTTCCATCTTTCCTTCTTACCCTCTGGCAGCCTGGGCTGGTGTGATGCAGGCTGCCAGAGCCAAAGATACATGTGGTACAGGGTGGGAGGTGGGGGACCTGGGGTTTGGGCCCTCTGGCAAAGACAACAAGTCCAGCAGTTGCCTGATGTCTGCTTCTACCCACAGATCTGTCCCCTAGACACTTTGCACTTTCTCCCAAAATACATCTCTCTCTCTGAATCATTCCTTCTTTCCTTTTCCACCTCTCTCCCTCTCCCTCCACAGCCTCTCACCAAATCGTACGCCTTCCTCCATAACCTGAAATGGAAACCCACTGAAGTTTTAGGGTAGTCGAGTGTCTAAAATTAATCGTGGCTGCCTATAAAGAGAGAGTGAGAAGACCTTGTTCCTTGAAACTCATATTTTTTTCCAGCACTAAAGTAGAACAATTTCTAAAGACATCTTTAGCCAGCTTCGAGGATTAAAATGCATACACGTGTTGTTACTATTAACACAAATGAAAGCTAATTTGCATACAAAATTCTAAACAAACTCTGATCCATATCATTTAAAGTGCAAATAAAGGGGCATTAAGGGAAATAAAAGGTAAGGTTTCCGCTTCAAGGATGAAAAGTCCAAACTGAACATTTAATTCCTTTTAGAGCATTAAAGTTTGTTAGCTCACTGAGTACGACCATTCATTTGTCTGCATAATTAATCCTCCTCAGGTTAAATAAACTGTGCTTACAAATGACTGAGGCGATACTGTCAAAGTGCATGAGTTTATTTCATTTATTTTCAGTTAATTAATAAATAACTGTTGAAACTGAAGTTACAGCTTGCTGTGATAACTCTGCACAGTCGTAATCAAAGTGTTAAAAGAAGCAGGTTTTACTTTTAAGGCTGTCTAATACTTTTACTTTATTTCCTCAAATTCTTACCCTCATTCCCGCTCTTGTATTATATGCATTTAAAAGACACGAATTACCACATTTAGGCAACAACCATTAAAAAAAATGCCCCCCTGCTACGTTTCACACCCTGAGGTAGCCTTGAGATCGGTTAAAAGAAATTCTTCAACCCGTTCAGGTGGTTCTGAGTCGGCAGTGTACTGCTCTGACCCTGTGTTGAAGTGTTCTATTGACTCCTATTTGTACCATAAAAGCAAAACAAAAGGCCACACCTCCTGCCGAGCGCTGGGGCTTGTGTAAATTTTGTGTTTGTATGTTTGTGGGTTTATTCATTGCCGAAACAATTTTAAATTCCATCTCTTTAATGCAAAAAGAGCTGCTAACCGACCCTTCTATCCTCGTGTCTTTACATCTCGGTTTCTTTTTACTTAACTTTTGCCCCACAAACTGCCTTTAAAGGCTCAGTGTGTGTGTGTGTGTGTGTGTGCGTGCGTGCGTGCGTGTGCATTTGTGTACATATGGTGAGGTGGTTCAGCAGAGGAGACTCATGGGAAGAAGGGAGAGAGAGAGAGCAAAAGAAAGAGAGAGCAGGTACTCTCAGTAGACGCTGTGGACCGTTTTGAAAGGAGATGTTTGATTTCCTTTGAAATCTGCTGTGCGAGGCCCAATGCCATGTTGTGATCTTTAAGCATTCTGCGTTGAGGGGGCCAACAGGGCTGGGCCCCCTTCCTGTGTTTGGTCTTTTCTGTCTCTGCCTACCTGTCTGTTTGGCTGACTGTACGTAAGGAGGGGAAGCACTAAGGATTGGGAGGGCTCTCTGAGGAAAAGTTGGAAGGATGGAGCGAAACGGCAGAGGGGTGCAGGAAAAGTGCAGGAGGGTGGGCGAGGAAGGACGGCAGGTGGCAAAGTTAACCCCTTTTAAGTGAAAGGAAGCAAAGGGGGGAAGAAAGCCATATTTCAACATTTTATCCAATCCAATTTTAGTTATAAAACACTTTTGAAAAACACAAGTTTGACAAAGTGCTGTACAATTCATCTTGAGGGGAACATATGGAGCTAGTAGCTCAGATATGTATTGCGGTGCTGATCAATTAAGGCTTTTAAAAGCACATAATGAAATCTTAAAATACATCTTAAAAGGAGCAAGAATGTGCAAGGGGAAATGTGCTCACGTTTATGGGTTCTGGTTAAAAGATGAGCTGCAGCATTTTAGGTGCTTTGTTAAAAACACCAATGTTAGTCACTGCTCATTTAACATGTGGCTGCAGGGGCCCAGGTCCAAGAGAAGAGCAGCACACACACTACTGAGTCTGAACGCAATTACCTCAATCTTACTTTCACTGAAATTTAAAACATTTGCATGCTTTGATATCTTTCAGACAGTTGTGTTTAAAGGAGCTGACGTCACTAATAAAGCAAAAAACAAAAAAATGTGAGCTGACAGCAACACCTACTCAAATGCCAAACACAGCCATCCATAAACGGGCACAGTGAGCTGCTTCTCGTTATATAAATCTGCTGACTTAGTGCGTGCCGAGGAGGGTGTATCTCACAGTTGTGTGAGGCAGCTTTCGTTTGTGTGTTTACGTGAGAAGCCGTACAAAAGTGGCAAATGTTGGCCGTAACGGCTTACCGTTTCACGAACACTTGTTAGAACAGATGCGTGAGTGTGCGCAGGTGTCAGGTGTGCACTCACCCTTTCTCTAGCTCTCTGGATCTTCTCACGGTCACTGTGCAGGTTGGCAAGAATCTCCTGCCCCACTTGTTCTGCAAGAAAAGAGCATCCAGCATAAGATGGCAGGTCCAAAAAGTTCCGCCATGTGATGAAATGAATAAAATAAAATAAAACAAATGAACGATTAGGTGATTGCGAAAGCCTGGCTTGCACTCACTTTAGCTGTAATCTCTTATTTGTCAATCATTCTCACCATCATGATTAATGTAGAAATAATTTGTTTTTTGTTTTTTCCACATCTGGACCTACTTGGGTATGTGTAATATTTGTGCAGTGTGTACACAGACATTGCTGTCTAGGAGTGTCAGACAGACAGACAGAAGAATACTGCGTCTGAGGGAAGTGTTGAACTTTCTTAAGATGCTGGAGTAAATAGACATGAAGTTCTAGACAACAACATCCCAGCATCCAGCCTGCCAGTGGGGTCCACTCTGCCGATGCAATATTCATTACTCCTTTCTTTTTTTTCTTCCCTTTTTTTAAACGGCTCTCGTCAGTTGTAGTTGTAAACACATTAACGCACAGTTATAAAACATCCCCGACAAGGCACCTGACAAGCTTGTCAGTGGTCACTGTCATTTTCCTGTCCCTTGGGAATGAGAAAAGAAAGGCGGGGGGAAAGAAAAAAAAGATAAACCAAATAAGATGCCCCCCACCACCACCAGAAAAACCCACCGGTGCCATCAATGTAATCATACTGCTAGAGCATTAGTGTTTAAAAATAAGGCAGAGGATGAATCAGGAGAAAAAGGGGAGAAAAAAAAGAGTGAAGAATCTTTGCATGGATCAAAGACAGGCTTTCAAGCGCACCAAACAAATCCGGAATAAACAACACAGTTGCTGACTGTATTACACTACACAGGTGCCGCACACCAAAGGGCCCACGTGCTGAGCGCCTGTTTGGGGGGAGCAGTGCAAAAATGGGCTACATCTGGCAGCTAAACAAGAGGGGAGAGAAAGAGAGAGAGAGCGGCATAGAACGGGGATCAGGGAGACGCAGGGAAAAAAAGAGAAAGCACTGTCAAATGAACGACATTCGTCTCCCATTCATCCCATCCCTTTTACCCCCTTCGCACTGTAACTGACTCAAATGTGTCTCTTCCTGCCTTCATTAATTTCTAATCTGGGACGAGACAGATTGAAGGATACCCAGATTAAACAGTGCAGTCAGACAGTCACATGTGACAAATAGGGCAGATTAAAAGACTGAGCGCAGGTATTAATAACCATAAAAATACAAGCCCTCCCCCGTCCCGAACGGAGAAGAACAAGGGATAAACAGGGAAGGAGTTGAAGCGGAAATCTTCTGTTAAAGAGACAAATAAGCACATCTATACATCTCTGTCAGGGCTGTGGCTCTTTTTTTTTTTAAAATGAATGAGTGTGACAAGCACTGCAGCAGCAGAGGGTTTCTTTTTTGATGGCAAGTGCATTATTGGAGAGGTTTGCAGTGTGTAAAAAGATGGATGAGGTAGAGGAAGAAAAGACCTCCTAAGACATTGTGCTCCAGGTACTTAAGCAATCGTTACAGACCCTGCACTGTGCACGAAGGCGTGTTTTGCGATTATGGTTTGGACCTACAACCGAGTCTGTTGTGGATGCATTTTCCATGCTGACTGTATACACTACCCACAAGTGAATGACCGTCCTTGACAAATCTAACAGCTGCTCGAAAAAAAAAAAGGAAATCACAATACAAGTCTTGTTTAAGTTGTGTCCATTTTTGTAACCTTACTGTGAGGGAGCAAGAACGCACAACCTTGCCTTTCTATTTTTCTGTCATTACCCAAGATGTTCCTCTATTAAAAGAAATCAATATGTTATTACAAGAAAATGACATTGAAGACACTGCATAAGCTCAATCATGGCATCTTTGATGGATAGCCATGAGCACAGCTGCGTCAAATCATTTGCAGTCACCAGAATAGTATTTTGAGTTGGCTTGTTATGATTAACATTTTGTTCACTGTCAGGTCTCTCTCCAGTCCTCCAAAAAAAATTTCCCATCATTCCTTTATGACTTTCTTCCCCTACACTGACTTCAGAGGTATACACATCATCTCCCCAAAGGACGTATTGTGTTGATTGGATCTCAAGCATCCACCCTTTCCTTACTCATTCTCTGGCATGCATCTGCACTTGCATTCATCTAATTTCATTCCTGCTGACTAGTTCTGTATAAATCTTCATTAGTTACTGGGAAAAAAACAACTTTAGGAAAAAAAAAATAAGACTCCCATTTTGTGACCTGTACTGCATCTTAATCATATACTTTCACCCAAAGCTATCGCCACTCGTGGAAAGAAATACAGCAAACTAGTCCCTATTATCCAAGCTATAAACTCATGATGAAATTACCTTAAATTGCTTGGTAGTTTTTTCTGCCCTTTGCAATGCTGACATATTACATATTCAAGTTTGCATAGGATGTTTAACTGCATAAAATCTAAATAAACACACAATTTATGACCACGACAAATATGGAGGCTATGTAAAAAAAACAAAACTGAAAAAAGTACAGTTGATAAAAACAAAACCGAGAGGCAAAATAATTCACTGTTAATGCTCCTGACTTAATGCTCGTTAGTGTATAAAATATTCCCCTCCTGTTTAAACAGCTATTAACAATTTAAATAACCCTGGCCCAGAGGCCTTGCTCTGACTCTCTTGTTAAAGATCTCCGTCCCCCAAAGGTCCATTTAACAAGCCCATTATTCCATTACATTGCATTTACATCAGCACCAGAGAGCCTTAATTTAACTTGCTCCTGTAATGTAACTGTAGAAAATAATTAGTATAGAAAAGTTGAAGGCACAAATTAGATTGAGGGGAAAATAATGTCTGTGTTACGATTTTTTTCTCTCCCTTAAATACACGGAAAGACTATTGACATAGCAGAGCCCTGCTGTATTTTATCACAACCTTTTGTTAAGAATTACATGGCAGTGGGAGGGGTGGGGGGGGGTGGAAGGCTATTTTACTGGGTAATTAGCTTTACTAGAGTATGAGGTGCAATGTAATGTAATCTATAAAGCTTGAACAAGCCGAACATAGCTGGAGTAGGATATTTTGTCAGCTCCAAATGTATTAAAAAAACCTCAACCAACCCGCATATATTGTTTCCACTACACTTTACCACCAAGAAACAAAACCATTACAACACCATGAAAAACAACTCTGAAAGGACTGCAATTGGAAACACGTCATTCTATACAATTATCTATTATAAAAAGCAATGCTTTTAGAATGGTGTGGTTAAATTATTATAGATAACGATTAATATATTCATATAAGAAGGGACTGAGTACTGGATAGGCACATTTATTTATAGCATATATGTATATATTAGGCAACCATTCGCAAGTTCACAGGCACAATTACTGTCAGCTTTATGAAACGTGCAGGTTTGTCTGCAACAAAACAAATGACAAAGATCAAATGAAGAAAATGAAATAATAAGTGTCCAAGGAGGAAGCCAGGGAAGTCAACACTGAGGAAGGAGGAGGTTTGGGGTGAAATAATGGCAGTGTGGAATATTTAATTTGATAAGTAAAGAAAGACTCATAGATTATAAGCAAAGAAGTAAATGCCCATAGTCTCCAGCATCAGTGGGATAGTACCAACTGTAAGTGATGGCATCCAGTAAGGATGGAAGACAGTTTTAATTACTGACATCATAAGAGAATCCTTTTTAGAATATGTTTATAAATATATTAAAAAAAAATTCTGTTAGTATTTAATACCTTGTTTTATATATTTAGCTGTAACTATGAGCATTTTTGTCTTGTAGCGTTTATCATTTTAATATTAGTAGTAATAGTAATAATATTCAGTTTAAATTTGTGTGTTCAGACTGGCTGAGACACTGAATTTTTGTAGAGTGTGAGCACCTTGCCTAAAGTCATATGCAATATTAAACTTTATATCTCTGAATGTTGGAAAGTTGGACCGATAACCAATTAAGCATTTTGATGACATCTTAGGCTTTAGGGAATTAGGTCAAACATATTTGGCATTTCCCAACAAACCGAAATAAAGAAGAATTGTCAGTTACTTGATGACAACAGAAAAGGTCTGCTTTACCATCTCACCATCTCGTGTTATGAAGAAAAAAAACATGTCTATGTAAATAAAAATCATAACCTGCCCTTATCTGCACACATTGCTTAGGACAACACGGCTCAAACAACTAACAATTTGGATAAAGTCCAAACCTCTATAGCCTTCAACTTTTTACTCCAGTCCATGGACACATTTAATTGGAGCCATCATCTATTTCACACAATGTGCTTCATAGCGTATACACTGTGTGAGGGCCCCTGTCTCTTTTTCTGTGGTGCATTTTTTTATTTTATTTTATTTTTTTGCTTGCTCTCCTTCTCCCCTGAGCCAAAAGGGGACAAGACCTGACAGTGGTGTGCTCTGAGGCTCAGCACAGCTCCTTTTCATTAAGCAGTTGAGACCACTTTTTGAAGGTTACCACACACACTTATATCCAGACACAATCCATACACTCCAACAAACCCATGGAAACCTATGGGAGGGCTGAGGGGGAAGTAAGGAGGGGCCTAAAAAATGTAAGACCATGCATTTTCTCTCTCTCAAACTCCATCAGTCACACAAACACACTTTCACACACACAGTGCGGCAGTCAACTTGTATGCCTGTGACTCCCAGGTGAATAAAGTTACCTGTCTTTGTACACTTTCAGAGGAGCTTTTTTTAAGGACTTTTCAAGTCTACAGCTGCCGGGTGACACACTTTCATCACCCCCATCAAAGTTGTACCCACAATGGGATGTATTTGTAATGCTGAGCCCACAGGCCATGAGGCTAGCGCCTTCGCACTGAGCGATAGCTCAAAATAAAGAGGTGCCAACTGCTAGGTCACAGGAGGGGCATGTAGCATCTGGGGGCTCAGTGATGTTATGACAGATTACTTATAATAATAATAAACTCTACCGAATGTTAATGAGGAACTTTCTTTATCGCAATGAGAGCCATTTATGATTTAACAAGAGTCAAAGACAGCT